TGCCCCGCCCCCCCCTTCCCCCCCCCCCCCCGGTTATTTGCTGACGAAAGAGGCCATTGGGTGGAGGGAACCCCAAGCAGTAGGAAGGGCAAGGGGCCATTGTGGCCCAAGGGAAAATAGGAGGAGCGCGCCGGAAGCAAGGCGGCATAAGGGGGGCCCCCCCCCTTTCGACGGCTCAGGGGCATTGTTACACCCCCTTTATTATTCTTTAGTTGCTTATGCAACATCTTGCCATGCTTTTAATCTGACACGTGGCCCAAAGCCCGACACCATAGATCAGGGGTGGGCAATAATTTTAGAAAGGGGGACACTTCACAAATTTTTGAAGTGGCTCCAGGCCACCCCAGAAGGGGCGAGGCCTTGGGTGGAAGGGGCAGGGCCAGGACACCTCTGTGCTCCCCTACCCACAGATCCTGATTGGTCTAGGAACAGGGGGAGCAAATGACGTCTTTGACCCCCCTCCCACCCTCAGCGCCTAGAGAGGACCACCAACAGTTCTGAACAGTTGGTGGTTCCCTCTAGGTACCGCGTGCCTCTGATGGTGGGAGGAGACTTCGCACACTCCTCCCACCCCCAGGCCAATCAGGGCCTGGGGGTGGGGGAACCCACAAAGTTTCTTGCCCCCTGCTCTGCAAGGGGCGTGTGGTGCCAGGGCCCACAACATTTTGGCACCTGAGGTGGGGAGCTCAAATGATGCCCCATGCCGCTTTTCTCCTGCCTGCCTGTTATGTCTCTTGTGCTGTTCAAAACAGCTGGCAGTTCACTGTAGGTGCCGTGTGTCCCTGACGGGGGGAGAGGACTTCATACACTCCCCAGTTCCCAGGTCTCAATTGTCCTGGGGGTGGAGGAGCAGCAGAGTGGCTGCGGGCCAGATCAACCCACTTGGTGGGCTGGATCCGGCCTATAGAGGCTCTCTTGCCCACCCCTGCCTTAGATGTTATTCCTATATTAGGGACACAATCATTTTCTCTCAAAGCAAAGTAATAGAGATAAAAATTTACCATCCAGAACTTCTAGGGAGGCAGTGCAGATGGATTGGCCGGCTTTGTTAGTAGCAATGCATGTGTAGGACCCTTTATGTTCCTTCCCCACATCCAGCAGGATGAGACTGTGATGCATGTTGGAACTGGCGACTTTGTAGCCAGGAGTTTCTGGTTTGATCCACAGAACATCGCCTTGAGATTCTTCCTTCAACCAGGTAACTGTGGGCATTGGCTGCCCTAAAGAAAAAGAGCAATAACCTCTTTCAACCCAGTGGATTTCATCCTGTACGAGAAATCCTGTGCACTAAGCAGTGAGTGAACCCCACTTTCAACGTGTTTGCTCATCTTCCAACACCAGCAGTAAATCATAAATTAATACTTCCAGCCTCTTCCAGCTAAACACTGCAAAGCACTTTGCAGAAATGAAGGATTATCTCTCACATCACCCCCGTGAGAGAAGAGTGTGCTACTCTACCCTCATTTTATACATAGAAACATTGAGGCAAAGAAGAGTTACACATCTTGGTGAGGACCACCCAAAAGTTGGTTGCAAAGATGAGGAAAGAACCCAAATCTTCTGACACCTACACTAGGTAAGGTCTTCAAGGTTTACTCAGTGAGAAGTTGGGATACCCTAAGTAGCCTCACTGCCCAGGGTATGTCTAGATTACATGCCTTTGCCGACAGAGGCATGTAAAATAGGCTACATGATGTAGTCAATGAAGCCGAGATTTAAATATCCCAGGCTTCATTAAAATAAAAATGGCCGCCACGCTGTGCCGGCTCAGCTGATTGTCGGCACAGCGCAGCAGTCAAGACGCGGATCGGTCAACAAGGGAAGCCTTTGTCGACCGCTCCCTTATGCCTCGTGAAATGAGGTTTACAGGAGCAGTCGACAAAGGCTTCCCTTGTAGACCGATCTGCGTCTTGACTGCTGCGCCGGTGATCAGCTGATTCGGCACAGCGTGGCGGCCATTTTTATTTTAATGAAGTCGGGGATATTTAAATCCCAGCTTCATTGACTACGTCGGGTAGCCTATTTTTTATGCCTCTGTCGGCAGAGGCATGTAATCGAGACATACCCTTAGAGAACATTAAGTAACACAGAAAGCAAGTTGTGTTTAAGCTCCGTTTACCTTCGACCTTCACAGAGAACGTGATGCTTGCACCTTTCCGCACTCTTTTATTGGTAAACCTTTCCAGGAACCTGGGTGGCACCAGCTGTTCTTGAGCACCTGAAAACAGTTCATGGTGAAATGAAGCAAGTGAAGCTAAGACTATTGAGAAGTTATTACCGGTTCTCTTATCACCGATCGTGCTGTCCCTCTCACCTGTTTCAGGCAGTTCTTCCTTTTCGCCAGGATCTGTAACACAGAAAGACAAATCACTCTAGCATGAAACAACATCTATACAAAGGATAAATATCTCCATTCTGTGAACTGTGCAGTCATGCAAGTGGACAAGTGGTACTAAGGACTTACACAGTACACATGTGTACTATGCCCAGATTATATTTGTATTCCTCTCTTTAGTAGAATACATCCAAAAGCTGCTTCATAATATAAATGACATGTATAGTAGCCCTGCATAAGAATGACTGAAATCTGTTTTACTCTTCCATTAGCATAGCATAGATTTGAAGTAAGATCATTTTGACAAATTATACCACAAAAACATTTGGCCATAAAGTGCTACCTCCATGAGCACGGATATTTAATAATAATAAAAAACAACGCTGCAGTGGCTCTTAAACTACCTGTTTTCACAACTGAGACAAAACTCAAACCTTATGTAAAGTATGGTAGCATTCCAGCCTCATGCATGACCCATATTCCACCCTTCGTTTTTAAGCAGAATTCCCCACTGAAGGCATAAAGGACAATGGGGTTAGACTGCAGGTTCAGGCAAGATTAGAATCGGGTCAGCACAGAGGTTTACGACTTCCCAAAGGACCCAGTGGAAGCCCATGGAAGAGCCAGGAAAATAACACAGGTGGTGCGTCTAGTCTGTCAAGATTTTGCGCAAAAGTGACTGCTTTTGCGCAAAAACTTGCCAGCTGTCTACACTGGCTGCTTGAATTTGCGCAAGAGCACTGACTTTGTAATGTACAAAATCAGTGCTTCTTGCGCAAATACTTTCACGCTCCCGCTCGGGAAAAAGCCCTCTTGCGCAAGAATACTTGCACAAGAGTGCCAGTGTAGACAGGGAAGAACTGTTTTGCGCAAAAAAGCCCCGATGGCTAAAATGGCAATCGGGGATTTCTTGCACAAAATCGCGTCTAGACTGGCCACGGATGCTTTTTGCAAAAGCACCTTTTGCGCAAAAGCATCTGTGCCAATCTAGATGCGCTTTAGCGGAAATACTTTTAACAGAAAAACTTTTCCGTTACAAGTATTTCTGCAAAATCATGCCAGTCTAGATGCAGCCAGGCTCTCTCTCAGTCCAGTGTTTTAAACCCAAACCCATCCTTTTACCCTCGGTTTGTGATCCATTTTATTTTCCAGAATATCTTGCTTTCTATGGGCTTTATCGGGAAAAACAAACATTTAAAAGAGAAAGCCGCTGGCTACAGAACAAACCCCACCAATAACCTACCTTTGACAACCAAAGTGGCAGATGAATATGCAGAACCAGCAGAGTTGCTAATAAATACTGAGTATTGTCCAGCATCCTCCTTACAGACATTGAGGATTTCAAGTGCATGAAATTGCTTCTTCTCAATCTTCAGGATGCGGTCTGAGGCCTGTAGTGGCTGCCCGTCTTTGAACCAGTAAAGACGAGGCTCTGGGTATCCTACAAGGAGCAATGTGAGAAGCAGTGACCCTATTTAGTAGTCCCTCAAACCAATCATACATCTCTGTCTAATCACAGAAAGGTCCTTTCTTACCAGCGTTCTTTGGTCCAGGTTCCACAATATCCCTTTGGAATCCAACCCACATGCAGAGAGTAGCTCGATTCTTTCATTTGTGAAATGGCATTGATCTATTAAAATTCTATTGCCTACTTTTAGGGTCTAATCCTACCCCCATCACCTAGGTATCCGGCTGCTTTCCAGAGTCAGAACATTGACCTTTGGATCTGGTTTTGTACACATACAAGGCCAAATCCTGAAATCCTTATTCAGACTGAAGTCATCCTTTGTCTGCATAGGAACTTTGAGACTGGTCCCATCCCACAATAATCCTCATTCTTTCCAGGAGGCAGGAGGACAACAATCCAGCGCACATGCTCCAAGAAAGCACACCCAGGGACAGTGATATCTCTGTAGTTTTTTGCCCCATCTGCTCAGAAGTTTGCACTATGAGGCCAGGGATCCATACAGGTGGAATGGATGGGCCAGTGGTGGGAAGGGCAGGGACATGGAGGTGGGTTAGGTACACACCTACAGTGTAGCTCTTCTACAGAAGATGGGAAACCAGGAGGTGCCAGAGTTGGGGCAGAGTCCCCTGGGCTTTTGGGGACACTGCTAGTTCTGGAGGATAAACCATCTTTTTGTTTTTTTGGGAGGAAGCAACTCCATTCCTTACCAAAGCTTCCTGGCCTCTACATAGCCTTATCCCAAGTAGCAAACAATTTGGCCCTTAATTCCTATTAGAAACCTAGAGCTGGAAGAGACCTCAGGAGTCATCGAGTCCAACCCCCTGCCCAAAGCAGGACCAGCCCCAACGAAATCATCCCAGCCAGGGCTTTGTCAAGCCAGGCCTTAAACACCTCTAGGGATGGAGATTCCACCCCCTCCCTAGGGAACCCAGCCCAATGCTTTCCCACCCTCCTAGGGAAATAGTTTTTCCTAATATCCAAGTAAACCTCCCCCACTGCAACTTGAGACCATTGTTCCTCATTCTGCCATCTGCCACCCCTGAGAACAGCCTCTCTCCAGCCTCTTTGGACCCCCCCTTCAGGGAGTTGAAGGCTGCTCTCCAATCCCCCCTCACTCGCCCAAATCCCTCAGCCTCTCCACGTAGGTCATGTGCTCCAGCCCTCTAATTGTTTTGGTTGCCCTCTGCTGGACTCTCTCCAATGCTTTATTGCGTGAACAAATCGTTGCATAGAGCATCTGCTCTGAAATATTAATGAAAGGCGATGGTTTATATTTGTAAACATTGGTTTTCAGAAGAAGCATGCCATACCGGACTTTTCATCCCTGGCAGTTAATACATTCAGACACTCGCTGATCTTCATGATCTAAAGCCTAAAAAAGTGAGTGACAGGAGCAGATTTCCAGAAGCGTGTGCATGCAGTTAAACATTGTGGGCAAATGAATACCTACTTTGCACAAACTATTGCCCCATTAGGTGCTGGTCTTTTGCACAAACACACTTGTGATTGTTATCCCAAAAGTCCTGTGAGTGCACAGACTACAATCACAATTGAACGCAAATGTGTATCAAAAAATGTTGTCTACACATCTTCACAGATATCAAGAGCGGACTCTTGTAACTGTCATGGGCCTTCTTACCTTTGACCTTCAGGTGAAATTTAGCTAATGGTGCTCCAGGCGCCACATCAATATCATGAAGCTCATCTAGGATCTGAGGTAGCTGCTCCTCTTCCGTGGTGGATTCTATTCCCTCTTGCTCTCGGCTAGGTATAGATGAGAGTAAGAAAGCAACGAGGCATTGGCACAGACCAAAAGAAGTGACAAAAATCAAAACTGTCTTTCACAAGTTCAGCTGGAGATGCTGGTTCTATGGGCATGTTGATGCCTTTGAAAGGTTCCAAGTGACGCTGGCTGTTCTGACAATTATATGCAGTGCATGTTATATAATAATTGCCCTCCCAAACTGCATGAAAAGACACCAAGGAGTTCCGTGGCATGTTAGAGACTAACAGATTTCTTAGGCTGCGTCTAGACTGGCATGATTTTGCACAAATACTTTTAACGGAAAAATTTTTCCATTTAAAGTATTTGTGCAAGAGAGCATCTACACTGGCACGGATGCTTTTGCGCAAAAGCACATATTTTGCGCAAAAGCATCCATGCCAGTGTAGACGCTCTCTTGCGCAAGAAAGCTCCCATAGCCATTTTAGCCATCGGGCTTTCTTGCCCAAGAAATTAACGTTGCTGTCTACACTGACCCTCTTGCACAAGAATACTTGCACAAGAGGGCTTATCCTTGAACAGGAGCATCAGAGTATTTGCGCAAGAAGCACTGATTTTGTACAGTTCAAGGTCAGTGTTCTTGCACAAATACTCGTGGCCAGTGTAGACAGGTGGCAAGATTTTGCGCAAAAGCAATTGCTTTTGCGCAAAATCTTGCCAGTCTAGATGCATCCTTAGAGTATAATGCTTCATGGGTAAAACCCACAAAAGTGTATACCCTAAGAGCATGTCTACACTTGCACCCTAGTTCGAACTAGGGATGCAAATTCAGGCATTCAAAATAGTCAATGAAGCGGGGAATTTAATAATCCCTGTACTCCGCTGAACAGCTGTTTCAAAAAATGAGGAGTAACGTTAGTTTGATCCAAGGGGTTTGGTTCGAACTAAAGCGTCCCGGCGCACACTTTCACTTTCACTTTCAAAACAGCTTTTCAGCAGAGTAACCAAGTACCTTACCTTGAGAGATATCCTTTGGCACTGTAATAAGAAGACGTCTCTGTTGCATCTGCTGCTGTATCGTAATCAGTGCTGGTCACTGAGAAAAGAAAAAATGGACATTTTCCATGAGCCACCAACTATTGCTGTTCCTAATGTTTACACCTAGAAGTCCTTGCAGGCTCTGAAATGTCATTATTGGGAGGGGCAGCCTCTATGATCTCCCTTCTGAATACTCATTCAGACCCACCCACTTGACCTGATGCCCCCTGCAGGCTCAGGGCAGCTGGCTTGGTCTCTCTCTCAGCCCCATCAGTGCTATAGCAGAACCAGACCGAGGGCATGTTCGTCCCCAAGAGCGAGTGTGCTGTCTCCATAATACACAGAGCCTTCTCGGAGTGAGAAGGGGTAGGGAACCTAAGCGCAGGTCACAATGTACTGGGTACGTCTTCATGGGGCATTTTTCCTGTGAGACTTCTCTGCCCTTTGGGAATGAAAGGGCCCTGCTCAGCCACTAATACTCCAGTTTCATCTGATGAAGAGGGTCTTTGCCCACAAAAGCTTATGCTCCAGTCTGTTAGTCTATAAGGTGCCCCAGGACTTTTCGTTGTGTTAGTACTCCAGTGGCATTGGTGACATCTTTGCCAAAAGCTGTGTCATCCTCAAACACGGGACATGATAACGGGAGAAAAACACCCCACAATATCATTAACCTTTCAGCTACTTCATCTACATTCGTAGTAACGAAGCCCCAATTAGCCCAGCAGATGGGAGTAAAAAAAACCGTGCACTGATATCCCCTCTCAACTGTCATTTCCCTGCCAGTGAGATTCACGTATTCAGATTGGCCAGACTAAGCATGCAAACACGGATCGTTACTGAACACCAGCCACGCTCCCCAGCTCTTACGGTCCACTCGTAGCTCAGCCTTGCTGGAAGAAACTCCCATGTTGTTTTCAGCTAGGCAGCGGTAGACCCCCATGTCCGTAGGGACCACGGCAGTGATGATCATTTGGTGGCACCCTTCCTGGTCCTCGTTGATCATATAATGGTCGTCTTCTTCGATGACTTTCCCATCCTTGAACCAGCGCACCGTGGGCAAGGGTTTGCCAATAACAACACAGTCAAAGCTGACCGGGTAGCCATCCTGCACCTCTTGGTTTTGAAGCTCGGTTATGAATACGGGAGCTGAACATGGTACAAATGGAAGGGAGAAAAGGAAACCACCACCTCTGTTAACTGGGAAAATGCATTTTAAGACTGCTGCTGTGTGGGGTGGAAGAGGAAGGCACTCCTGGCTGTGTTGACGGACACATTTTAAAACAATAGAGAGGTATCCTTACTTTATAATATAAACTAAGGAGGTGCTTAAGTTGGGTATTTTCCAGTGAAATATTTTCTCACCGGCAAATGCCAGTTCTTGGAAATCAACACTTCGTGCAAAAGGATGAAGTGTTTTATGACTTGGCAAAGGTTTGAATTGTTTCGTTTCAACATTTTCTAAAAGAAAAGTTCCAGTTTTCTGGTTCTAAATGCCATTTTGTTTCAGAATTTCATCTCATTACAGTTAAAAAAAATTGAAAACTGTCAAAATTAAAACAAAATGTTTTGAAATGATCACAACAAAAGATTTCAAAATCACTGACAGAAAATGTTTAGATTGGCCCAAAAGGATTTTTTCCCCCTCCCAATTTCCTGTTCATGAACTTTTTCAAAGATACTGGCTTTTTGAAGCAGTTCAGGACTAAGAAATATTTTGAGATCTTGACATCTTCAAGGAGCTGGAAAACCGCTTCCCACCCCTCCGCTTCCCAACTCTACTCAATATTATTAGCTTTATAAAAAGCACTAATTTTGTTGTCCTAGACATGGCAGCATCACTCCTGTAAGTGAAGGCTTGGCTCAAGTCCCTCTCTATGTACACCTGAGAATAATTTCCTACCCTAACGAGGTGCACTCAAAACTGTTTAGTGGCCAGATCTTTTCAAACCATTGCATGAATGCTATTGTGTGTTTTGTTGTTAGAGTAAAAATGTTTCCCTCAAAACTTTTTTACAAGGAAAAATTCCCTTTTTGACTAGCTGGAAATTTTGTATGAAGTAAAAATCTCTCTTTTCAGGTTTTGAACCCCCCAAATTTTAAAGAAAATTATTGTGGGGAAAAATATCCCAGGGAGATATAAATAGGATTGTTACATAAGAGCCTTGCATGCTTTGCTAACCTGTATCGGACGTCAATAAAGGTGGTGGGGATCTTTTCACCAGGGGCTGAAACTGCCCCAGAGCGGGTGGAGTTGCTTTCCCGATGCGCAGCTCGATCTTTTTAAGGCCTTGCTCCAGGATGTCAATCTCGACGGGGATACCCAGCGCAGCAAACATATCCCTGAACCGTCCGGCAGCTGTTTTAGCTTCAGCCAAGATTTCAAACTTGATGTAGATGTACTGCTCATCTTCGCGATACGTCTGGTGATCAACCACCTCCACGTCCCCTTCGTCCGCGCTGACAAAGAGCTCCTCCTCCACATCCGACATCTCCGTGGAGATCTTGGCCTTGAAGAGCTTGTGAAGCCTCCTCCCGGCCTTGCGGAATGCCTCGTCCAGGTCGCTGCCTGAAGAGCTCTCTGTTTCGCTGTCCGTGAGGGGTTTTGTTGGTTTATGCTCATGCAGCGCATCTGGCACCTGGGGACCAACCACCACCTTAGCAGTGTGGGAAACCTTGCCAAACTTATTAGATGCCTCACAGGTGTAGTTTCCGGTGTCTTTCGTGTCCAGGCCGGTGATAATCAAAGAGCAAGTGCCATCACTGTAGTTGTCTATGTGGTAGTGGCGCCCATCCGAAAGTTCCTCCTCATCCTTCAGCCAACGGACCTTCATATCGGTTTTGCTGAGAGCCATGCACTCAAGGTGGAGCGTGCCTCCGGGCTCACCACAAAAATCTTTGAAGGTGTCGCTAAAGAGGGGACATTCGTGCTGTTTGATCTCCTTCCTCGC